GCCTGGAGACCCTGAGCCTTCTTAGACTGTGGGCCCAGGAAGTCTATAAATACAGCTTATGTCAGGTACGTCCTGGGAGAGTAACCGTGAGCCTTTGGATCACATTGCCTGGGAGGAGCAGGAGACTGAGGCAGTGTTAGCTTCGGAAGCACATTCATTATTCCTGCGCATTGCAGACTGCAGTCATTCACAGTACCATCAGTCCCTCTCCCGACCCCCCCATCGCCCCCACCCCCGCAGCGGAGCTCTGGCAATGAGCAACTGACAAGCTGAGGACAATGGTTAAGTACTCTTCCATTTACCTTCAGCAGGCTTGGCACTCTTCACTTGCTTTTACAGTCTTTACAGATCCCCGACTCTAGCCACTGGGGAGAAATTGTGCCAGGAGGGAACAAAGAAAAGGAAAAAGCAAAACAGCTTTTTTGCATTTGTTCTCAGGATGAAGGGTTCGCGCCGCTGAGTTTCATGGCTTGCTTTCGTTCATCCCACAAACGTTTATTGGACACAGCCTCTGTGCCAGGCACTGTTCTAGACGCTGGGGATTCACTAGCGAGCTCAAAAACAAGAACAAGCTCAGCCCTTGGGGAGCGCACATGCTAGTAGGAGACATTCTGTAGGTGAAATTTTTAAAAGTAGAATAGGCAGTAAGTCAGATGGTGTTAAATGCAAAGGGGCAGGAGAATTCGGAGAAGGGAGACGGGCACCCACCTGGGAGGGCTGGGGTTGCGTGTGCCTGCCCTTGGAGGGTGACATTTAAACAGAAAGGTGAAGGAGGGGGGAGGGGGCCTGTGGGTGTTGGAGGGAAGAGCATTCAGGAAGAGGGACCAGCAAGGGGAAGGTCTGGCATGTTCTGGAACAGCAGGGCCAGCGTGGCTGGGACAGAGCGGGTGGGGGAAGGGGGAGCACGGGGAAGGTCACAAAGGGCTTTGTGGGCCATCCCAATGACTTTAACTTATACTCCATGAGAGATGGGTCCCGTGGGAGGGTTTTGAGCTCAGGAGTGAAACGATTCGATTTTCCCAAAGTATAATTCACATACTACAAAAGGGCAATTCAATGATTTTTCTCAAATGTGCAAAGTTGTACAACCATCACCGCACCCCAGTTTTACATTTGCATCACCCCCAAAAGATACCTCATGCCTGTGACTTGCATTTTAAAGGGATCCTTTTGGCTTCTGTGTTAAGCAGAAAAGTAAAAGGTAGAAGAAAAGAAGGCGTGGGGAAGAAATGTTCCTCGCCGCACACACAAGTGACAGCACGGACTAAAAGTGGAGAAATAAAGACATGGCTGATAAAGGTTTTCTTTTTTAACTGCTGGCAGTCTGGAGCTTCTTTGATGCCAAAGTTATAACAGGAAAAAGGGCCTCCAGCTTTAAACAGGTAAAAGTAGGGCATTAATAACGTGCAGAGAACTGTGTAAGAAACAAGAAATCCAAGACTAAAAGCTGTACCTGCCTGCGACTCATGAACGTGAAGATGACAGAATGCAGGTTGATCCTGCCCTCCTTTACATTAAAGGTGTGACTATTTACAAAGCTATAGGATTATCTTAATACCTTAAAAAGTCAGAAGGAAAAGGTTGAGGGCAGCCATAGGAATAAACCTAAACATTGCAGCAAACATTCATTGTCCTTGCAGCAAAAAAGCAGTAACATCTCAGTTGTTATAAAAATGTTAAATTTTGGTTTCTTTTGCTGGTCTTAAAAAGTGCAGGCACCTGCACTGAATTCTTATCATGATGTGAGGAGTTGTCGGTGCCCATAGAAGGCTTGATGCTAAAGGTGGCAGCTGGGTCAGGATTCTCCGTATTTTTAGCTGGAAGGCTGAAATCTGGTATGATGACGTTTGGGACCAAGCAATGAATGTTGACTTTTTGTTTTATTTCCAGCATCTACCACAGCAGCAGCGTCTTCTTTCCCTTAGCGCAGGTCCCCCCACCCTCCCTGCCACCACCCCCACCGCCATTGTGGTACAGGGATGGTCGGTCAGGCCAGGACGGCTCTGAGCTGCCCCGCAGAACTCCGCCTTGGGTGTGCCTACAGCGATTCTGGCCGACTTCCCTTAGCTCACACCTGTGCATTATGGAGGGCCTGTCACCTGGCTTATCTCCAGGTTTGCCGCGTTACAGAGAGCAGATCCTCTCAAACACGAGAAGAGCACATCTGACCATCTGACGAGGGCAACAGCCTGGCGATGAAAGAGGAAGAGGTTGAGTGAGAGTTGCCAGCCAGCTTCAGAGAAGGGTAAATGTGTTTCCAGCTCACCGCCCAGCCTGACTTGATTTATCTGTGCTTTGGACTGTCTGAATGAGGTTTAACTACTTGTCTCAGTCCAAGGTCACAAGCAACTCCTTTTTTGCTTTTCAAAACAGCTTTCCTGTTCTGTAGCCTCTTCCAAGATTGTAGCCGCTGCTCTGGGCAACAGCCTCAAGAGCCCTGCATTACCGCTTCTGGCCACAAGGGGTCCCAGCCCTCCAGGCGCCCGCACCCAGGGCTAGATTCCGCAGACAGCAGGTGCCTTGCGTGGCCAGCCCCCAGAGAGCTGCGAAGCTCACTTGTCTTTGGCCCTGGGTCCATAACCATTTGGCCCTGTGGGAGCAATGATCGCCCACATGCGATCGCTGTGATTTGTGTTGTTACTACAAACAGCAGAAAGCATAGCCCAGAGACCTGGCAGCTCTCTGCGCAGCCTGGGCTCTAGTCCCAGCTTTATTCCCATGACTTGTGTGGCCTTGGGCATGCCCCATCTGAGACCCTGAGACTCAGTCTCCTCATCGGCCAAGGCAAGGAGTTGAATAAAAGCTCGTTCTCTACAGCTTCGCCAGCGGCGTAAGCCCCCAAAGCCGACTTCACATCTGGGGTTACCTGAGTCAGCCTTGCTGTTCAGGGCAAACCGCCAGCTTACTGAAGTTTTACATCCTTCTGTCAGCTGTCCATCTCCCTGGAAGCAAGAGGTGTGAAATCAGAACTCTGTGCCCCAGCAGCTTCCAACAGCAGAGCCAGCGTAGTGCTCAGAGAACTTGGTACTACGGGGTTCTCCAACTTCTGTTACTGCGGAACCCTTTACTCACACAAACTCTGACATGGAATCCCACACAGAAAACAGCTAGATGCTTTCTGATGAGAAACCGGAGCCCAGGGAGAGGAAGCTAGCTGTCCTGTGTCCCTCAGCAAGAGAGTGGCAAAGCTGGGCAGAGCTGCCCCCTCCTGGGCCCATTCCCTGGGGGTGACACTGAGCATGCAACTTCCTGGGATGTGCAGGAACTCAGAATCATAAGTGCCACATGTGGGGAACTGGGATTTGAACCCAGGGCTTTGCAATTGCAAAGTTACATATACTGGCTTTCCTGAGGGATGACAGTTCATTCATTCATTCAAATCTTAATTGAGCACCAAGTATACAGCAGGCGCTGTTCCAAGCCCATTCAGCTGTGAACAAGGCAGCCAAAGCGCCCGTCCTCATGGAACCTAGATGTTGGAGGAGACAGACATAAGTGATACATGGCAAGAAGAAAATGCAGCAGGGTAAGGAGGTAGAGCGTGATGGAGTGGGGGTGCGTGTGCACCTCTCGTGGGGCGAGAGCCATGCTTCTCCAAGTGTGGTGTGCGCACCCCTCTGCGAACTGTTGGTTTCCAGTCTGCAACAAGATAAGACATGCCCCTTCCCTGTTTGTACTGGACAAATAGACCGTGGAGCAGCCCTGGTCCATGAACTGCACTTTGAACAACCCTGGCCTAAAATTTCCCTGAAGCATTAGGCCACTGTTGCGTATCGGCTTGTTAGGGTTTCGAATCCACGTGTTTATAACTTGAGTGAAGTTGTTTTGATCTAAGGATGAATTTGTTTGCACTGTCATCAGAATTGTCGTGTTACTGAGGGTTTATTGATACACGCATATGGAAGGGCGACTATGATGTAATGGACATTTATGTTTGAAATACCAAGAGTCTGTGAAAACTTACCGAGAGTGTTCACTGCAGGCAGGGCTACATTCTGCCGATCTAAAGAGCCCTCTGGAAACATTCAGACATTAGCTCCAGCCGTGTCCAGGGCTACTCTTCACCAGCTGTACTGAAGACCCCGTGAAGAAGAGGGTCTTACCGGCCAGCGCTGGCACTGTTGTTCCACAAGCATCGTGCTCTCGCATCGGGGAACTTTCAATGAGCGCTGGCAGCTGGACATCCGCTCTTGGTTGGCTAAGCCAGCTCTTCCAAGAGCCAGTGAGTAGAAGGTTACACCTCAGTGGAATCTGCACTTCATTTCTTTGGTCTCCCCTTTGCCTGGAACAAGAGCGTAATCAACCTATTGTTGCTTTGGAGGATGTTATTTCTTGATTGGTTTATTAAGAGACATGATCTCATGTTCTATTGGCTCGTGAGATATTATTAAATATTATCATAAATTATAATCCCTGCAGTGAACCTGTGTTAAATAATTTATTGGCAAAGACAGTCTTGGTCTCTGAGCATAATTTTGCCGCAAACAAAACAGTCAGTGCCGCTGCTGAGTGTACTCCCTGTCCTGGGACCCCATCGCCCACCCCGCTTCCCTCCCACCTTCCCGCTGTGCTGTGCAGGCCCCAGGGGACTGTTGCCGAGGAAGGCGGTGGTGTCTCCCACCTGGCGCGTGCAATGACTCAGGGCCTGTCATTTCCTTCTGAGGGAAGATGTCCCACCCAAGTGCATGGCCAGTGGGGAACCTCATGAACAGTGGAAATAGACCTGGGTCCCAGCTCAAGCTTTGTCACTCATGAGCCACATAATCTTGAAAATGTCTTTAGTTTTCCTTAACTCTCAAATGGGAATAATGGCCCTTTGCAGGAATAGCTCAGGTCAAGTGAGCGGCCTGCCCCAGGGCCTGGAACTCCGAAAGTGGAGGTCCCCGCGCTGTGCACACATGTGCACGTGCATGAGTGTGTGCACACATTTGTGTGTGACATCCGTCTCCTCCACCACTGTGGCCAGGGACACTGATGGCCTTTTCCGGGTCTCTCACCAGATTGCCAAGGGATCATCGAGGACGTCGCCCTGCTGGGTGCGCCTGTGGAAGGAGAAGCCAAGCACTGGGAGCCTTTCCGGAGGGTGGTGTCCGGGAGGATCGTCAACGGCTACTGCAGGTCTGACCAAACCCCGGCCAGGGGGGAGGTGACAACACTTACTGAGCAGCTGGTGTGGCCAGGCCCTGCGCTGGGGACACAGGCATCAGGGGGCACCTGCCTGTTAGAGTTCTGAACTGGGAAGCCTCTGTCTCCCTAGGATGAAGATCCTGAAAACAGTCTCTAGGTGTCAGGCCTGAGGCCAGCCTATAGGAGAGACAGGCTTGTCACCATAATCTGAGGGAAGGGGAACATGGGTAAGTGGGACAAAAACTGAAAAACAAAGGTTAGGCCTCACATGGGAGGTCCTCCTGGGCTGACTGGGAGCGCATATGTGTGTCATTTGGCAGGAACGGCGGGAAGGGAGGCTGAGGTCTCAGAGCGTGGATTCAGTGGGGGGCAGGGTGAGAAAACCAGAAGCCGACAGCGATGGGAGAGCCCGTGCCTGCGAAGCACCTCTGGTTAGAGGTGGGGGCTGCCGCGGCTCACAGCTGCGGGCTGGAAAGGAGGCACCACGCTTGGGGTTTGAGAGAAGTCGAGGGGCTGCAGCCAAGGCCGTGCCCCAGACTTAGGGGAAGAAGAGAGATGACATCCACCACCGAGACCTCGGGAGGTGGGCCTGAGAAGGTGCCCAGGCCCGTCAGCCCCCAAATGAAGCAGGGCAGGGTGGCAGTATTTAAGAGCTCACAATGTGGGATCCCATGCACCTGGGTCATCATGCTGGCCTCTGTTTCTCCATCGGTAAAGGAGGGATGATACTAGTGACTCCCCCCAGGGTCATGATGGTTGTTAAACAATTTGTAGAGTTGCATGTGTTAATTACGTGCAGATGACGTGACTGTTCACCATCATCAGCGTCGTCATTATCAGCCACTTGACATATTCATTCAACAGCCTCTGAGTGAGCACCAGCATCGTGCTGGGCACCGCACTGGGGCTGCAACAGGCAACAATCCCAGCCCCGTGGAACCGCGCATTCAGTGGGAAAGTGGGCAGGAAAGCTGGCCCTTCCCCAGGAATGGTGCAGATGTTAGGGACAAGCTTGCCCTGAGCTCATGAGAGCGATGCCTGGGCTTTGCGTCTTTCTCCCACTGGGCTTGTGGGCCAAGTGCCTTGGAGGCCCCACCCCAAACTCCATAGGGGCATTATGTGATACACAGGCTACAAGCCAGATTATCTTCCTAAAATCTAAAACATTATTCTGAATCCTGAGATCAGAAGACCCCTGAAGATTTTGGATAGGGGACTCATATTTTGAGGTCATTGCCACAAAAGCCGCGGAGTACTGAATGGGACAGCAGAGACGCTGACATTCCAAGCCCAGGTCCGAAGGACAAATTCAAAGTTTAAGAAGCAGTAAGGTTGGCTGATTAGTTGTAGAGGCAAAAAGAAAAGAGAAGAAAAAATGACTCTGGAGTGTTAGGGGGAAGTGACTGGCTCCCAGAACGCAACTTTAAAAATAACAATTAAAAACAAGAAGGAGATAGGACATGTTGGGGAAGTTTCCAGAAGGCAGCTGGAAACACAGCCCTAGAATGCAGAGGAGTTAAAACTGCAGCAAAGGCGGTGGGCTCATCAGTTTCAGCTAAAGCCAGAGGGACCCGTGAGATCATTTGAAAGGCAGTGTGGCGGTGTCCAACCTGCGCCCCTAGCTGTCTATGAATGTGGCCCAACACAAAATCATAAATTTACTTCTAACCTTTTTTTGCTCATCAGTTTTCATTAGTGTTTGTGTATCTAATGTGGGGCCTAAGAGAACTCTTCTTCCAGTGTGGCCCAGAGACGCCAAAAGGTTGGACACGCCTGGCTGTAGAGGAAGAGGAAACGCTAGATTCCCACGTCTAAGGAATATAATTGAGGGTGGGAGGAGAAAAAGGCTACGGCCTGAGGCGGGGGCAACTCAGAATCATCCTACACACTGTGCCCGAGGGCTTATGCTGGGCATGGGAACACAAACGTGGACACCATGAAAGAGGCAGATGTCTAGTTGAAGGGACACAGGGAAATAGACAATTATTTTTAAAAACCTAAGAATGCAATCATGAAGCAATGGAGGAGGGGAGGATAAAACAAGGATTAGACGCTTCCCACCTGCCAGGCCCTGACTTTGTTATATCTTTCTCCTTTGATGCTCCCGGAACCCCATGGTGTTAGTATTATGAGGCCAGTCTTAAAAGTGAGGAAACTGAGGCTCAGAGAGGTTAAGTCAAAAAGCCAATTAAATTTAAATTTGATCTAAGACCAACCATCCTAAAGTAGGACCAGGACCCAAAATTGGAATAGATTTTGAAGTCTTTATCACTTTGATTATCTAGCCCACGGGAAGAGCTGTCCTTCAGCGCTAAGGGAAAGTGGTTTTTAGCCATCGACAGAGGGCATTAACCAGACGCCAGAGCAGGCCATTGCTGGTCTCTATCACACGGGCTCTAAGCTGAGCTTTCGGAATCAGGACGCGGTAAAAAGAACCAAGAAACAAGACAAAGTATAGAGAGCTCATGCAAATCTGTAACTATGTGTGTGTGTGTCTATATACGTATGAAAATGGCCAATGGATGTCTACACATAAACTTGGAGAATAAATACCAGCAGTCAAAACATTCTTGAAAAGAGGCCCAACTTCATCATTAATGAAATAAATGAAGGTTAAAATCGGTAAGATACTGTTTATCACTCACGAGGTTATCAAACATTTAGAAATGGATAACGTTTCCTGCTGGTGAAGATGTGGAGAAATGAGTACGGCCGTTCACACACTGTTGGTGGCAGCTGAAGTTAGTAAATCCTTTCTGGAGGACAATTGACAATATCTGTCAGCATTCAAAAATTTTAATGGGCCAATTTTCTGACCCCCACGCAAATTTTGACTTCTAAGATCCTGACATTCTAGACACATACACGCACAGAGAGGGCTGTAAAAAGTGGATAGTTGCCACTTCATTTATAATTTAAAAATGAAAACAACCTAAATGACCATAAACAGAGGACTAGTTCAGGGGAGAAAAAGCGAGCACCGCGATGCTCACTGGAATGCCATTTACGAGGGAAAATGTCCGCATGTGCGTAGACATATCTGTGTGCCTGACAACGCACGGGAGGGTCTGGAGACCATAAGGAACTGGTGACAGCGGCCACCCCTAAGGAATGGACAGGCGCTGGAAGTAGGGCATGAGAGATTTTAAATTGATTTTTTTAAGTGAGAATAGTTTTTAAAACAGAAAAGAAAAAGAATAGACCATGCTTGATGTCAGACCATCCTTGGTTAAAATTTTGGCTCCACCACCCTGGCCAGGTGGCTCAGTTGGTTGGAGCATCATCCCATACACCAAAAAGTTAGCGGGTTCAATTCCTGGTCAGGGCACATACCAAGGTTGTGGGTTCAGTCCCTGGTTGGGGCGCATATGGGAGGCAACCAATCAATGTTTCTCTCACCTCGATGTTTCTCTCCCCCGCCCCGCCACCTCTCTCTCCCCGCTCTCCCTCTCTCTCAAATCAATAAATAAATATCCTTGGATGTGGATAAAAAAAAAAATGTGGTTCCACCATTTTCCTATTGAGTAGCTTTGGACAAACAACTCTGAATCTCAGTCTTCCTGCCTCTGAAATGGGAACCATAGTCCCTTCTGCACAGGGGTTCCAGGAAAATTCTACGAGTTTATATAGGAAAAGGGCTGGCATCTAGTAGGTGCCCACTGAATGATAGCAGTTAGGGGCACTCTTACTGGGCACATTCACATAACACATGACTTTTTGGTGCTTTTCATAAACAACACAGGAAGGAATTAAAATTGCATGTGTGCAATATGAGATCAACAAAACCTTATTAAATCCATCTGTTCTATTGAGGACCTGAGGCTAATAAGCTTGCTTTTCAATTATTTTGTGAAATCCTGGCCCATTTCTCTAAAGAGAGAAAGGAGGAGGAGGAGGAGGAGGAGGAGGAGGAGGAAGGAGAGAAGAGAAAAGGAACATAACAGACCAAGACAATAATTGTAGTTTCTTGGTAAGTTAAGCACCAATCAGACTTTATATTCTTGGCTCCTGAAGACATTTTAGTTGCCACAAACCTACTTAAATGTGGAGCAAGGGGATAGAGGGAGCTTCAGGCCAACACTACCAAACTATGTACACTTATAAATGTGAAATGTACTTTCATAAGCTCTATGCAAATTCCTTCTCTTACCTGGGCTTTCACAAGCCCCCTGCCAGCTAGCCAGCAAAGGGTACTGCTCCCTGTTGCACCTTGGGGACACTGAAGTTCAGAGAGGGTCAAGTACTTGACCCAGATCACACAGCAGAGCCAGGATGTGACCTCAGGCAGCCCCATCTCACTCCTTGATAAGAGGGCTTCATCCTGAGCCACCCAGGGGGCTCCTTGTGGCCTCTGCTCCAGGTACCCTGTGGGCGGGAGAGGAGGGGAGGAGACGGAGCAGGGAGGAACCCTGCCCACCAGTGGCTCCAGGCCTGTGAGTAGCCCAGGAGCACCCTTCAACACGCCATGTGACAGCAAATCGAGGGTCCCACTGTAAGACAGGTGCGTCAGCACCGCCTGGAGGGCCACAGGTGTGGCTTGCTGGGCCCCACCCCAGGGAGTCCCCTTTGCAGTTCAGGATGCAGGATGGGGGACTAAGGCAGAGTCCTGCCTAGAATGGGAAAAAGAGCCAGGACCAGACACACAGGGGACATGTGACAAACCTCACAAAAGGAGCATGTTCTGGGCACCTAAGGGGCAAAGGAGTAATAATATCAGCTGGAGGGTCTCAGAGGCAGTCCCAGGGGAAAGTGATGTCCAAGGTGAATTTTGAAAGGCTGGACAGGAGCCCATCAGAGACTAGAATAGTAGGCCAAGCAGAAGGGTCACCCCACCCACGAAGGCCCAGAGTGGGAAGAATGGTACCCAATGCTTCCTGAGTGCTCACATGGGAGCCCTGTGTGCACGGCGTGCCAGCTCAGTGCACACTCCCGCCACCCCCCACCCCGAGAGGAGACCGAGGCTCAGAGGGGTCTGGCAACTTGCCCAGGGTCGCACAGCTAGTAACTGACAAGCTGGGACTTGGACCTGGCTCCATGGGGCCATGCCAGCAAGAGAGGCAGGCGAAGGGTCTTGAGTGCCAGTAAAAGCCCTGTGGTTTGCTCAGCACAGTGTAGAGGATATGGGACCTTCTTACATACGTTCCTGTTCTGTCCCTAAGTGTGTGTAAGTGCGATGTACATTTTAAGTAGGGTGTTGTCATAATTAAGACAAATGTTTGGAAAGGAATGATTCTGACTTTGTTGCTTTATAACTACGTCAAAAACATTTACGGACGACTCTCATACCCAGCATTTGATGCACACAACTCTGGTGATTAGTTCAATAAAACAACTTGAGTTCATCTCCCTTCTTCTCTCCCCTTAGCCACCCGCTGTTAGAGACAGTGCTTGGTATTAAGATTATCCTTGGGACTTGCAAGCATTGCTCTCTGGAGAGAGTTGAGGAATTTTCTAGAAGAGGAATCATGCAGGCAGCGGGGGATCTCGGTTAGTTTCTAAGAGGGGAGGGCCATGGTCAGAGCGGTTAAGGAAGACCGTCGTGGCTCAGGGGAGGTGAGGCCAGGGCAGGATGAGCAGGGAGGAGGCCGCTGCATTGGCGCATGGGGGGTTGGGGTACCCGACCTCAGGGCTGGAGCCGGGGGCTGGGTATGGGGAGGGAGGGGTGATAAGAATCGGCAAGACCCTGGGAAGTTGGCCACAGGGGAGGGGTACCTCAGACATTGCCTGGCTGGTTTCTGCCAGAGGGGCAGGACGGTGGTGGCAGAGGGGGTCGGGGACTGACGAGCTCGGTTGGGGCCGCAGCAGGGCCAGTGGCAGGCCCCTAACTCTGGGCCAGTCCTTCTAGGGGCTTCCTGGGTGGTAACCGCATAGGCCCCATGTGGTCAGAGACCACAGAGAGAGCCCCACCACACCCTGGGGTGAGGGACTCTCAGCCATCTCCCCCACCCTGCAGTGAGGGGCGGCCCTTCTTTCAAACACACATAAAAATAGCGGACTCAAGTTGCCACACACACCAGAGTTGGAATTGGTCTAAATAAAAGACAACCAGATGTGCTAAGTTGGACTTAAGTTCCAGATGCAGAGGGAAGGACAGGAGTATTCATGCATGGACTTGCCAAGTGTGAGGTCAAGTGCATGGCTCTTGGCCAGCCCCGCTTAGCCCCAGGACAAAGCTCAGGGGTTCGAGAAGGATGCTGTCTCGTAGACCTCAGACCATGTCCTCCACACACAGTGCTCTGGCACCTGAAGAAACAGGCAATGGGGGTCCAGGGTTATTTTCTCTCGATGGTGTAGGGGTGCGTTTGGCTGGAGTGTGCAGGTGCAGGCAATGGGGTTCACAGCCCCTGTAAAATAGAGGAGGGCTCCCAGGGCTGTGACCTGCTGGGCGGCCACCCTGGCCCCCTCTGAGACGGCCAAGGGCAGGGAGACCACAGGCTAGGTCAGGCCTGGTGCAGGGCAGGGCTGCCCCATTCAGCTCTCAGACAAATGGGGCACTAGACCCAGAGTTCCACCCCGCAGAACATGGGGGCCCCCAGTTCCGATGGTCCCCTCCCCCAGGAGGAGCCTGCAGCCGTTCTTCCCTCCCTGGGAGCCCAGGACCAGGGAACTGGGAAACCCTCTGAGCCGAGAGCAGCTCAACATGCTGACTTGTCGAGACCCTCATTCATTCATTCACTGCAAACGCACCTGTTGCATATCAGCCACTGTTCTCAGCTCTGGGGACCCAGCAGAGAGCAGAGCAGACACCTGTGTGGAACTCCCATGCCCCGGGCAGCACTCCCAAGGACCCCCTGCCATTCCCACCCCAGGGCGCAGGGAGAGCCTGGTTTCCCACAAAAGCACCAGTCCCACCAGACTTCCCGGGGCCAGACGGGGCCCGCCCCCATCCTGGGGCTCCGCCGAGGCTGATGTTCGCTGCTCTGTGCCCACAGGGGAGACTGGCTGCTGAGCTTCGTGTACCGCACGTCCTCGGTGCAGCTCCATGTCGCCGGCCTGCAGCCCGTGCTGCTGCAGGACAGGAGGGTGGAGAACGTGGACCTGTCCTCCATCGTGAGTACCAGCTCCTGGCCCTCCTAGGGCTCTGCGTTTGCGGGACGGGGACAGGGCGCGGGGCAGTGAAGGTCATTAACCAGCCCAGCAAGCCCCTGCCGCAGGGACACTGGCCCTGGCCCATCCCATCCCAGAGGAGGGAGGTCACAGCATTTGTTGGGAAGAGGGAACTCCTACTTAAGGCCCCATCCTTGTGCCATGGGTTTGTCACCAGGCCCTTGACACAAATTACCACTAACCCTCGCGCAGCCTCTGGGCAGGCCTTATTACTCCCGTATCGCAGATTGGGAAACTGAGGCTTAGAAAAGTCTCTGTCACACAACTAGCAACTAAAATAGCCTGCATTTGAACCCCCAGAGCCCATGCTCTGGCCCCTACATTACCGCCCCTGTCCCCTCCCCACTCCTCCTCCCAGTGTCCCCACCCTGATCCCCTCCCCCCACCCAGGATGACTACAGGACAGCCTGTTTTCCCCAGAAGTAACCAGAGGCCTCGGGTGGAGGAATCCAGGCCAGACCACAGCAGAAGCACCCAAACGCCTGGCTGTGAAACTGTGGGACGCAGAGCAGGGCGCATGGGAGCGAGGGAAGCCGGGTGACGGGCCAGGAAACCACAGGACTCAGAGCGCTGCCCCCTGACTCCCGCCCAGACTGTCTGTCCTACTTAAGGGCCCCTTATCCTGAAGCAGGGAAGAGGAGAAGGGACTGTGTGCCTCGCCGCCCCAAGAGTCTCCCTCTGCCAGAAGGAGGAACAGCTGAATATTCCTTTTAAATGAAAATTTCCTTTAAATGCCACAAACCCTCGCAAGATCCAGCTTCTGCCCCAGGAAGCCTCTGAGTGGGATATGTTGGGGAGAGCACAGCCTTTGGCACCAGGGAGGCCTGGCCTAGAATCCTGGCTTGGCCGCTGGTATACCCGTACACTGGCTGTGTGACCTTGGGCTAATTACTTAACCTCTCTGTGCCTGTTTTCTCATCTGTGAAATGGGGGAAATCACCTACCTTCCAGGACAGCGCATGGGAGGTGCTCAGCACATAGTAGGCCCTCATTTAATGCTAGCTCCCTCCTCTCCAGCCACCACCTTCGGTTCTGCCCTCCAGACCAGCAGCTGCGGGGACATCCCCTCCTCCGCTTGCCTTGGTGGCTGCTTCCCAGCTCTCGCCTAATAATGGCTCTTTATCATATTAGGAGAACAGCTCAAAAAAGCAGTGCTTTCCTCTTTGGGGTAATTAGAGTAATTAGCATTGCCTTTGTGCCTCCCTCCTGTTTTTCCTTGAAAATTCTTGCTGGAGGAGAGGTTGCTGGCAGGAGTTTCATTACTGCTGTTGGGGAAAGCCCTGGCTGCTGGCGCTGGGATCTGCCTTCTCCTGCCAGACGGACAGGGAGGGGGGCCAAGCCCTTTGTGAATCATCTCAGATGTCAGCCACCTGCCCCAAACTCCCCAAATGCCCCAAAACGTGATCTGACAAGGCTCCCCAGGGCCAACCGCTGAGGCTTCTGGGGACAGAGACCCAGCCCAGCATCTCTGAACTCTTCATGGCCCAAAGGAAATGCCGGCTGGCTTCTAAAACTTAGCGTGGGCACCATCTTCATTTTACAGTTGGGGAAGCTGGGCTTCTGGACATTGCAAAGACTTGCCCATTTGCCAGTAACAGACTGAGCTAAGGCTGGAACCCCCTTTTCTCAGATCCCAAACTTCGGTTCTTTCTCGTGCCACGCACCCACTAACAATGTCCACCGCCTGTGGAAGGAAGCTGCCCCACCCTGACCTCCATCCTGCACCTAGGGATCTGAAAAGCCCCTTATATGTGTGCATACGTGTGTGTTGTCACTGAACACTATTTAAAAGCACTGGTAAAGAAAGGAACAAGAAGTAGGCAGGTTCTGGTTATGAGAAAATAACAAAACCTTACAGAGAAGCTATCTTCTCTGTTCTTGAAAAATTGTTTGCATAACCCTGTGTGATTCAAATGGAAATGCAGATGTTACCAGCCATGCCTTTGCATTTTTTCCTAAGATTCCTCACACTTGCCTCCCCAGTGTTTTCCTGACTTCTTTGTAAGCAAAAACCTTCCTCTTTAGCCAGGAGGGAATGTTGTGTCTCGGGCTTACCTTTGACCTCCTGGGCTGGCTGGAGAAGCGTGAGGCTCCAGTGCAGGAAGCAAAGCAGCTTCCACAGGCAGCGTTGCAAGCCCAGCACATGGTTTTGTTTTTCATGTGCTGTGTGTCATTAAGAAAACCAATGCCCCTCTCTGGGCTTCACTTTTCTCAACTATAAAATGTGAATGATTTTTAAAATTTGCGCTCGCTCACCAATTCTCTGTGAAGAGAATAGACCTGATTCCAATCTCAGCTCTGACATGTCCTAGCTGTGTGGCCTTGGGCAAGTCACTTTACTTCTCCGCAGCTCCATTTCTTCATCTATAATTAGCAGCCAACACCTGTCAAGGAGTATATCCAATAGGTTCATTTTCTGCAATGTATAAAGGACCCCCTATGTGTTGAGCATTGTCCATTATCACAGTTAGGCACCTGGCATTCTAATCACACTTCTACTTTTCATTCACTGACATCCCAGCATAAAAATCAGGATGTTTCTATTCTCTGAGGAAGACTATAGACACTTCTGAGTTCTCGACCCTTGTCTTAGTGAAGATTCAGACCCACATAACAGAGGCTGAGCTAAAATGATTTAAACACACAAGAGTTGTCATGTTAAAAAAAGCCCAGCATAGGCAGTTCAGGGCCGGTATGATGGCTCCACAGTCTTCAGAGGCCAAAATTCCCTGTCTGGCTGCTTTGCAAGCCAGCAAGTGGACCTTAGTGGGCCAACTCATGGCCCAAGATGGCTGCTCAAACTCTGGCCATCATATCTGAATTCCAGCCAACAGGAAAGGGGAAACAGGGGGAAAAGAAGAGCACTCCCCCTTTTAGAGAGACTTACAGGCAGCACCGTATAACACTACCCCTTCATCTCATTGGCCAGAACTTGTCACAATGCCACACTTTGCTGCAAGAAAGAAAAGTACCCAGCTCTAAGTTGAAGTTCTTATGATTAAGGGAAAGGAGGAGAGGGAGGTGTAGAAGGTACCTTACAGTCTGTGCCATAGCTCTATTTTCAGGCTGAGGGCTTTGCCACAACCTCACAGCAACCCTCTGATGTAGCTACACTTACTGTCCCCATTTTGCAGCTGAGGCAAGCGGAGGTCAGAGGATGAAGGGGCTTGCCCAAGGCCCCCGAGCCAGTGAGCAGCAGGGTCCTTCTGCCGTGACCAAAAACTGCAGACAGAAAGAGAACCTCCACTCCCGCCCCCAAATTTTGTAGAGAAACTTCCTTCATCTTTACTTAATGAGTCCTAGGGCAGCCTTGAGCCTGGATGCTTCCTATCTCACTCTGCGTTTCAGAGTCATGGAGTGCTGGAGTCAGGGCTTTGGTGACTGAGGGACAGAGTGAAGCCCAGGAGCTTAGCCTGGGGCCCTGGGGAGGGCGGGGCTCTGCCCACCTGCCTTGACCCGCACTCACTGTTCTCCTGCAGGTCAGCGGCCACTTGGACTATGCCAAGCAGATGGATGTCATCCTGAAGGCCGTGGGCATCCACACCAAGCCAGGCTGGGACGAGAAGGGGCTCCTGCTGGCCCCAGGCAGCCTGCCCCAAGGGGAGCCTCATCAGGCAGCAGATGACTCCTCAGCAGACAAGAGCACTGCCCAGGGTGGGCAGACCCAGGGCCCCGCACCCAGAGACACCTCCAGAACGCCCAGATCCGCTGACCCCAGCCAAGCCCAGGTGCCAATGGGGCTGGAGCAACCCGAAGGGGCCTCCCTTGCTGCTGCTGCCTGCCCTGCTGAGAGCCCCCAGACGTGCAGCCATGGCGTGGACCCCAACCCACTGGGCTGCCCCAGCTGTGCCCATGAGATCCAGAGGCCCGGCCCAGGGCTGGATTGACCCCAGAAGAGGACTTGAGCCGTCTTCCCGGATTTCCACAGGCCACGCTGCTCTCTCACTCCCCCCACCAGGCTCCCTGCGGGAGCTCTGAAGAATTTCCACCAGTGCCTTTCCTAAATTGGAGGCTCTGGGATTGAAAAGCAAGGAATTGAAAGGAGGGAGATTTGTAGGGAGACGACGGACCCTTTCTTGGGAAGGAAAGCCAGAACCCTGCGGAATCAACCAAGCATAGTCGAGAGCCCAGGACTACCCGCCACGGGCCTCCTGTGCTTTAGGTCACAGCTGTGACATCTGGCTGTCCATCCAGAGGTCCAGGGGGCTCCCTGGGGCCTGAGGCTCCCACCCGCCCCTCTCCCCCGGCCTCAGGTGGGCCAGGTGTCTGCCTGCTCGTCCATCCACTCCAGGGCTGCCCACTTGCCCACAGGCCCCAGTTGGGAGCGGGCAGCCCGCTCTCTGCTCTGGGAGATCCAATCAGATCAGCCACATGCAGCCAAGTGGGCTGTGCACTGCACAACCACAGGGGCATCAATCACACAGACGTGATGGGAAGGGCGCCCCGAAAGGTGTGCTGCACAGTGGCCCGGGATGTAATTGTAACAGAGCTTGGTGAGCAAATGCTGAACCTGCCTGCGGTACAGGTGGGAACTGGCCCTGGTAGCAAGGATGGATTGTATGGGGGAGGGATTTCCTGTAGCAGGAACAGAGGTGATGATGAAAAATAAAGAAGAATAATGGCTACCACTTACTGGGTATTTACCATAGAGCTTACTAGTGCTTACAGGGATTGTCTCACTCTTAGTACCTTCATTTTACACCTGCAGATACTGATGCCCAGACAGGCCAGGGAACCTGCTCAAGATCACACAGCTGATCAGTCTCCATCTCATTTATTTAGTGTCCACTCGAGCAGGCCCAGGGGCACAGGGGAAGCCCCAACCAGCACCACGGTGCCTCTGCGGCCAGCGGCCAGCGGCCAGGGCTGGAGTTGAGTCTACTCAGCACCAAGGAGAGCGCCAGGCCACCTGCGGAGCACCCCTGGGAGTTCGGGCTGATGGGACTTAGTGCAAATGGCGGGTAAGAAAACCCTCAGCCTGAAAAGGAACCTGCAGAGGGTAAAGTGTAGGAACTGAGTCCTCCACACCGCCAAAAAAAATCCCAGGCCCCTGTACCAGGATTCACCTGCCTATGTGAGGGCCCCAGCCCACACCAGGGGCAGCTTCTCTTCAATTCTACCCACCTGAGTGGCCACCACTCCCATTTCCCTCACTGACCCAGGAAAGGCCAGAAAAAGGGAGGGCAAGGGGGTGGTTCTGTCCCCATCAGCTGGTTGCCTTCTAGGTCCAAGGAAGCCCAGGGCAGAGGAACACCCATCCCAGGTGATGAGCAAGAAACCACCAGCCACCCTTTTGCCCCAGGAGAGGCAGTGTGGTATCCTGGGAGCTGGGGTAGGACTGAAGGAGAGAAGGAAGATGGAAAAAAAAACAGTGGGAACAAATGGCCCTTCCCAGCCCGCAGCCAGAGGCCAGGGTGCTGAATGGCCAGGAGCTATAACAACAGTGGGTATCACCTGCTGACCACCTGCCGGGTGCCGGGCATCCTAGGCACACTGTCCTGATTCTCATAGGGCCCTCGGAGGCAGGCAGGCATCGTTATCCCATTTTGTACGTGGAGTAACAGGCTAAGGACCTGTGCCAAAGCTAGTGAGTAGTGGAGCAGAGATTCACATTTAGGCCTGCTGGTCTCCCAGCCTGGGGGGTTTTTGGTGAGGCCGCACACATCCAAGGGGCTGGCTGGCCCCAGAAGCTGTCCAGCAAACCATCCTCAGGGCTAAAGATCAGCTAAGCCAGCACATCTCAAACCATACAATGCACACAGGTCCCCAGGGACCTTGTTAGCCCAGCAGGTCTGGGGTGAGGGGCAGAGGTGTGCATTTTGAGGAGCTCCCCGGAGGCCATCATGCTTAACTGACGGCCCATAAACTACATTCAGAGGAGTGAAGGATTCAGCCGTGCACTAAGCCAGCTCTGCAGATGGAAGTGTCCCTCCCGTGTGAGTGGATGGAATGTGCAAAGGAGACTGTCTCATCCTAACCTGGACCAAGAGGCCCCCCACCACCTCCACCCAGAGCCCTCTAATCATTCTCTATGCACAGCCACAAGTTTCGCTCAGCAATGCAGCACCCTGGAGAAAACTATGGAACCCAGCTCTCACCTCTCAGGGGGAGGGCCTTGAGGGGTTCGTGGGGGCTGATTCAGTGCACCCACTGGAGTTCCCAGGGCACCCAAGAGACCTGCACTCTCCTGGCCTCAGCCGAGAGCTGGCCCAAAGCCTTGGGGACTTGATTCCATCCAGTCCAGCTCCCCGCTGACCAGCTACAAGCCCAGGTCAGTTCGTGGGGGCCCCGAGCAGATGCAGCCGCAGCTTGGGCTCCACAGGATCGATGCTGGAGAAGTTGACCGTGGTGGAAGTCCTGGCAGGTGGCGGGGGGTCCTGGCTGGCCTCCCCCGGTAGCAGCAGCTGGGTCGTGAGTTGCAGGCCTGAGGAGCCTCCGGAGTCTGAGTCAGGGTCGGGGTCCGAGTCAGGGGGCAGGGGCAGGGGCAGCACGTGCTGCAGGCTCAGGCCCGGCCGGGCGCCGCTGTGCGAGGTTCGCATGGAGGGTGAGGCCAGGCTGGCCCGGGGCTCCTGGGGGCAGTGGGGGCACGGCAGGAGCCTGCCCAGTGCCCGCTTGAAGTCCCTCATGAACAGTGGGTAGATGATGGGGTTCATGGTGCTGTTACAGTAACCCAGCCACGTGAGGACATCGAAGAGGCCTGGGGAGATGCAGTCACACACGGCCTGGAGGGAAGGGAGCATCTTGCCTGGTCCCGGGGCCGGAACACAGACCACCCTGCCCAGCGTGGCCAGGGAAGACACACACAAACACACCAGGAGAGGCAGCCCACTGTCCTCCCTCCCCGCACCTGGGCTGGCGTGGGGCTCAGGGGCCTCCCTAGCAAGGCCCGGACTCATCTGCCCCCTGCAGTGGCCTTACCTGGGCTATGTTGGCCACAAAGAAGGGCAGCCAGGTCGCAAAGAACATGCCCAGCAGGATGCCTAGGGTCAGGCTGGCCTTGAGGGCCTTCCTGCTGTGCTTGGTGGCCAAGCGCCTGCTGTCAGCCGACTCCACCCCTGGGCGTGGGGTCCTGGGCACCTGCGGAAAGGAAGGCCACGTGACTCAGCTGAGAAAGAGCCCCTGTCTGACCCCGATCTCATCCACAGACTGAGCCTCCATACGAATGCTACACTGAACCCTAGTGCCAGGAATAAACTGAGTCCCGATCTTTGAGCCCTAACTGCAGTCCTGAACTGAGGCCTGGCCCTGACACCTGCCCAAGCCCTGACATCCGCGATAAACCAAGCCCAGATCCCGGTCCCAGGCTGATCGCTGATGCCTCCCATAGACTGAGCCCAACGTTGCCAAGGTCTCAAACTGAGCCTCAGCCCTGGACCACACCGAGCCAACCTTTGCCCCAGACTGAGCCCCGATCCTGGCACAGCACTTCACAAGGAGCTGTAGAAAATGCAGGGAAACAGCAACACTGCTCCGAACACAAATCAGTTCAAAAGACCCGCCCTCCACACAAAGGAAGACAACATGGGCCAGCACATGACCGTGAGCCCCAGCACCTCCCAAAGCCTTTGGCACTGCAAGAATTAGTTGCAGTCGCCCTGGCTGGTGTGGCTCAGTGGCTTGAGTGCTGGACTGGGAACCAAGAGGTTGCCAGTTTGATTCAGGGTCAGGGCACATGCCTGGGTTGTGAGCCAGGTCCCCAGTTGGGGGTGTATGAGAGGCAACCGATAGATGTATCTCTCACACATCGATGTTTCTCTCCCTCCCTTTCTCCCTTCCTTCTCTTCTCTCTAAAAATAAATAAATAAAATTCCCCCCAAAAAGAACTAGTTGCAATTGAACAATATTTGACAAAAGAGGCTTTGTTGCTGTGCAGGGCTTGGCAATCTCTAGCAAACGGGTTCTCTTCGTATTTTGGAGTAATGGTTTTCCTCGCACTATTACCCTCAGGCTCCACAAAACAAAGTGCTTTTTTGAAAACATGTGCAGAGAACAAATGTTTACAATGAAATCTGTCATAAGTTACTAGGGGTGCTAGTGATCTTGGCATTTTACAACTCAAATGTGGGGGCTGGCAGAGCCTTCAAGAACAGGAGGTTGGGAAGGGAGGGGGGAGAAAGGAGCTGCTCTCCAGCAGCCTTTGAAGGAGCGGGGCCCAGGCAAGGGGATATTAGAATTTGACTTCACACCCTGAAGACGCACAGTCCCAAAACATGAAAAGTCTTCCTCAACTGGATGATCCTTTAGCCCAGAAGTTCCCATAACTTTTTAAACCTCATGACCCCATGGCGAATATGATGAAATCTATACTGTTCCTCAGAAAACTAAAAGCTTCTCTATTTTTACACACACACTCACTAAAAAAGTTTGCACACATCCAGAGAATTCGGAGATCATCTTGAAGTCCATCTGGGAACCCCTAGGGGCCCAGGAAGTCCTCCTCTAAACCATTTGTTGTCAATTGTTGTAAACCATTTGGATTTTCATATGCAAGATTTACACAAAGTGAGACCCACATATATCCACAATTTAAGTAAATATCAATGCAGTGTGGTGTGCACACTTCATTGAACTGTGCAAAGGGTGAGTGTCCTTCGGAGGAACGCACCTGGGCTTTGAAAGCCAGGAATTCCGCCCAACGTTTCCTGAACTACATGAGAGCCCAGCTCGTTTCAGGAGGCAGCCAGTGGTGGGCTGGGTACAGAGGGATGAGAGTCAGAGCAGGCAGGGTGGGAATCAGATTCCCAGGCAACCTCCGCAGATGGAAAGGGGGCGGAAGAGACCAAGCCAAGATGTGCCAGCCTCATTGCATTAGCACAAAAGTCAAGCCCCACCCCCGCGCCAGGCTCTCCAACGCCGGACCCCGCCTCCTTCCAGCCCTGCTTTTCCCTCCCCGCCTCCTCAGAGTAGCTGCACTTTGCTCTTGTCCATGGTGCTGAAACGCCGCTGTGTCTTTCTACAGGATCAGGGGTCTAAGTCTGGAATGGCAGGGGGCAGAAAGGGAGAGATGAAGCACACTGTAACTCTCACCCCTCAATGTGTTTATCCAGGTGAAGTCTGATCATATGAGTATAAAGGTCAAATTCACAAAGATCAGCCAAAGAGAGGCTCTTGCTCTCTTCCCTCTGCCTTGGTGGGGCAGCATTGTTCAGAGGCAAGAGCTGGGCTTTGAAGACAAGTGCTCTGGCTTCAAACCATGCCTCTACCACGTACCCACTCTGCGACCTTGACACAGTCTCTGTTTCCACATCTGTCAAGTGGGAGAAGCAATGCTCAGCTTACGGAGTTGCTGTGAGGCTGTGGGTAAGAAATGCCTGCGCAGTGCCCCACGTGGAGTAAGTGTTAAATACGTGGCAGCCCTGGTGTTGGCTCAGTAGTATGTGTATGAGCTTGGAGACACATTAGCACCTTGGGAGCCCGGTCCTTCTTCCAGCAGCTCTGGCTCCCCAAAGCAGCACAGACATCAGGACAAATGCTCTGACTCACCATGCTGCAGCGAGGGGGGAGGGGAGAGGATCTGCTTTTAGCTTTCTCTTCTCATTGTTCTCACCTCCAGAACGGCCTCCATATGGTTCTGTGGCCTTACCATGGTCCAGGCTCCTATGTTCATCAGCCTGGAGGAGAGTCTCCT